GGGACATCTTTATTACTATCCATCTACTAGTAAGAGGCTTTAGTTTTTGCTGTATTGTGAATATTTTCCAATATACTACCTGTTTATGGCAGCTTTGGGCTTGTCTTTTGCTTTAGGAATGTGCTGATGCTTTGTATTGCTATAGTATCCTATTCTGAAAATGTAACGGAAAAAGACATTACTCATGTGCATGGGTGTGTTTAATAAATGTTTTCATAGTTCCTTATTGACACATTTTCAAGTGTTAAGGTTCTCTGTCATGATTGACAATGCAAGGCTCCTGATTTTTCAGCCTATCTTTCAAAGATATCCGCGGCCTGAGAAGGAATACCAGTCATTTTCTCTTATCTACAATGATAGGTCACTGGATTTGGTACGGATTTCTTTGTTTCTCTCCCCTTTGGTTTTTTGGCTGCAGTTGGCCTACTGCTTTTCTTGTAAATATGTTGTGGATATCGTGAACAGTTTCAAGGTATTTTATCAATAAAATTTTAACACAATCTAGTGATCTGATTCTTATATACTAGATATGCAAGGATAAAGATGAAGCTGAGGTTTGGTTCAGTGGTTTGAAAGCATTAATTTCACGTAGCCATCACCGGAAGTGGAGAACAGAGTCAAGAAGTGATGGTATTCCATCTGAAGCTAACAGTCCTCGAACATACACAAGAAGAAGTTCCCCTTTACATTCTCCATTTGGTAGTAATGAGAGCCTGCAAAAGGTATGAACGCATCATGTATGTCCCTTATATTTTCTTCCCATATCACTCCATCGCTATTAAAGATGTTTGTTTGTCCTATTCAGGATAGTGGGGATCATCTTCGCCTTCATAGCCCATATGAGAGCCCCCCTAAAAATGGCTTGGATAAAGCATTAGATGTGGTCTTGTATGCTGTTCCTCAAAAAAGTTTCTTCCCTCTGGATTCTGCCAGTGCTTCTGTCCACTCTGTATCATCCGGAGGATCAGATAGTATGCATGGTCACATGAAGACAACGGGTATGGACGCTTTTAGAGTTAGTCTATCAAGTGCTGTCAGCTCATCCAGCCATGGTTCTGGTCATGATGATGGCGATGCTTTAGGGGATGTTTTCATTTGGGGGGAAGGCACAGGTGATGGTGTCGTTGGTGGTGGTAGTCATCGAGTTGGGAGCGGCTTGGGTGTAAAAATCGATTCTCTATTTCCCAAAGCCTTAGAATCTGCTGTAGTTCTTGATGTTCAGAATATTGCTTGCGGTGGACGACATGCAGCCTTAGTGACCAAACAAGGTGAAATTTTTTCCTGGGGAGAGGAATCAGGAGGCAGGCTTGGGCATGGTGTAGACTCTGATGTTCTCCATCCAAAGCTTATAGACACTCTAAGTAATACAAATATTGAACTTGTAGCTTGTGGGGAGTATCATACATGTGCTGTGACACTTTCAGGTGATCTTTACACTTGGGGTAATGGTGCATACAATTATGGTCTTCTGGGGCATGGAAATCAAGTGAGCCACTGGGTACCAAAAAGAGTAAATGGACCCTTGGAAGGCATACATGTTTCATATATTTCATGTGGACCATGGCATACTGCTGTTGTAACATCTGCTGGGCAATTATTCACTTTTGGTGACGGCACATTTGGTGCTTTGGGTCATGGAGACCGAGAAAGTGTTTCATTACCAAGGGAAGTTGAGTCCCTCAAAGGTCTTCGAACTATGCGGGCTTCTTGTGGTGTTTGGCATACTGCTGCTGTTGTGGAAGTTATGGTTGGAAATTCAAGTTCCAGCAACTGCTCGTCAGGGAAGCTGTTTACTTGGGGGGATGGAGACAAAGGTCGACTTGGGCACGGTGATAAGGAAGCAAAACTTGTTCCAACCTGTGTTGCCCTTGTTGAACATAACTTTTGTCAAGTTGCTTGTGGACACAGTCTCACTGTTGCACTTACCACCGCAGGCCATGTCTATGCAATGGGAAGTCCTGTCTATGGCCAGTTAGGAAATCCTCAAGCGGATGGGAAGCTACCAATCCGTGTGGAAGGAAAACTGTTGAAGAGTTTTGTGGAGGAGATATCTTGTGGTGCATATCATGTTGCAGTTCTAACTTTAAGGAATGAAGTTTACACTTGGGGAAAAGGTGCAAATGGACGTTTAGGCCACGGGGATACAGATGATAGAAACAATCCAACACTAGTAGATGCTCTGAAAGACAAACATGTAAAAAGTATTGCTTGTGGAACTAATTTCACTGCAGCTATCTGCCTGCATAAGTGGGTATCTGGTGTTGACCAGTCAATGTGTTCAGGCTGTCGTCTGCCATTTAATTTCAAAAGGAAACGTCACAATTGTTATAATTGTGGACTTGTTTTTTGCCATTCATGTAGCAGTAAGAAGTCTCTTAAAGCTTCAATGGCTCCAAACCCCAACAAACCTTATCGTGTATGTGATGGTTGTTTTAATAAACTTAGGAAAACTTTAGAATCTGATTCTTCATCTCATTCTTCCATTAGCAGAAGAGGAAGTATTAATCAGGGGTCTATTGAGTTGCTTGACAAGGATGATAAATTGGATACTAGATCTCGTAATCAACTTGCCAGGTTTTCTTCGACGGAATCCTTGAAACAAGTGGAAAGCAGATCTTCAAAGAAAAACAAGAAATTGGAGTTCAACAGTAGCCGTGTCTCTCCTGTTCCAAATGGGGGTTCACAATGGGGAGCACTCAATATTTCTAAATCTTTTAATCCCGTTTTTGGATCGTCAAAGAAATTTTTCTCGGCTTCTGTTCCAGGATCTAGAATCGTTTCCAGGGCAACATCCCCAATATCTAGACGGCCTAGCCCACCTCGGTCAACTACTCCAACTCCGACACTGGGAGGTCTTACAACCCCAAAGATAGTCGTGGATGATGCTAAGAAGACTAATGATAGCCTCAGTCAGGAGGTTATTAAATTAAGATCACAGGTATCTTGTTTTATACATTCAGTGACATTATCCCCTTTCTTGCTATAAATGTTTAAATTGAATTTTACAAAAATGGACTTATAACTGGCACCCTATCTTGTATTTCTACCTGTCATTTTTATATGACATTAACTTACGAGAACTATGTCTGATAAAATAACCTAGACAACATGTAGAAACCAGGACAAAAAGGAAATTATGAGCTAACTCATACTGATGTTAGTAGCAAGGTGCATGTTAATTCCAAGCAAAGCAACTGATAATCCACTTGTAACTTGGATTTTTTTATAATACTAAAGGGCTGAATTTCAACTTAGAATTCAAATCAATGATCAATTGCAATGCACTTGCTGGAGAAGTAGTATATCCATATAAATTTTAATTTATTAATTATTGAAAGTGGTCACTTCTGTGATAGTGTGGTTCAATCTTTTATTTCGTAATTAAAAAAAGATCAACAGTGAGTTGATTTTGATTTTCACTGTGCACTTTTTCATTTGCCTTTGTGTTTTTAGATGGTTCAATTAATCAACTTTAGAGAGTTTCTTCCCATCACCTGTCAATAATTCATTTTTTGAGTCATAAATGGTTGTGGTGCATAGGATAACTGATATCTATAATTTACTTTCATAGGCTGGAAAAAATTTCTCTCCTTCCTTTCTCCCTTTGTTTTTCTGAACCTGCAACAAGGATGTCAAATTCACTCTGTTGTCTATCTATAGTGAGCCTGATGATTGTTTTTCTCTGTTTAGGTGGAAAGCCTGACTCGGAAATCCCAACTTCAAGAAATCGAGTTGGAAAGAACTTCTAAGCAGCTAAAAGATGCAATAGCAATTGCCGGGGAAGAAACAGCCAAATGTAAAGCAGCAAAGGAAGTGATCAAGTCACTTACTGCCCAGGTAGAAGCTTTAATCCCTTAAACCACTAACAATTAGACAATTATTGCAGCCCAAAACTCTTACACACTCGCGAAGTAAACAAAGAAAAGGGAACAATTTTTTATATATAATGGGTGGGAATGGGGAACGTTTCCTTTTTCTTGTTGTAAACAAACTGTTAAAACTTATCTTTGCAAAATCACTATGTATTTAAGATTCACTGAGCTAAAACTAATTGACCCCAAAATTAGATTGTGAAGTCACGAGAGTATGAGATGATACAGTTGGGTCCTATATCCGTTTTAACTTTTAAGCCAAAATAATGAAACTTTTAATTTTCAAGCTCACGTCTTTTAGTCTTTTCTAGTTTTGTGATGGATGTATTCACGGCTAACTGATTCAACATTTTTTTCTTGCATTGCATAGTTGAAGGACATGGCTGAGAGGCTACCCATTGGAGCAGCTAAGAGTGTCAAATCACCTTCTATTGCTTCTTTAGGCTCCAATGAACTTAGCTTTGCTTCCATTGATCGATTAAATATTCAAGCAACAAGCCCAGAAGCAGATTTAACTGGTTCAAATAACCAGTTACTTTCAAATGGATCAAGCACTGCCAGTAATCGCAGCACAGGTCAGAATAAACAGAACCAGCCAGATTCAACTAATAAAAATGGGAGCCGAACAAAGGATAGTGAATCCCGTAGTGAGACTGAATGGGTTGAGCAAGATGAACCTGGTGTATATATTACACTCACCTCCCTACCCGGAGGTGTAATAGATCTCAAGAGAGTTCGCTTCAGGTGGGAAAATCAGATAATTATACAGTATATTCATATATCTTGAAAATAGTGATGTTTTATTCTGCAATTTGGCATCTGGTGGGACAAATCAGATAATTATTTAGTATTTCATGATTAGCAATTTTATAATCCGAGTCTTAACTTTTATCTTTGGCGAATGCAGTCGGAAGCGGTTCAGTGAAAAACAAGCAGAAAACTGGTGGGCCGAGAATCGCGCAAGAGTATATGAACAGTACAATGTACGCATGATTGACAAGTCCAGTGTTGGTGTTGGCAGTGAGGACCTGGCTCATTGACATCACAACCTATAAATGAGTCATTTTTCCACACATTTTTGCTGGAATTAGAGCAAGATCGTACTGATCAATTACATTCCACTTCCATCTAATATAAAAGCATTGAAGGAAAGCTGTGGACTGGCATAGTAGGAGAGAATAGGGAGTGATTGTGATTTTGTAATTTTTTTTGCCATTTTGGTTTCATTTTCCATTTTTTCCCTATATGTACCTTGTGTGGGGGTTGAGGGTGAGAAATGTAAATTCTTAGTAGGTTGCAGGCTCTCTGGTTGAAAGGAGCTACAGTGTAAATTTCATAAGCGAATGCGTTTACAAATTCGTCTTCAACTACACGGGTCATAAATTCTCCAGCCATGGCACTTAGTAATAGTTGATAATTGATATAGAATAGCCCAGGAAAATTAGTTGTTTCAAAATTTCTTGCTCTTGCAAAATTGCAATATCTAGTAAAGATAATGTCTAATGAGAGGTGTAATTTGTTTTTTTTAGCCTTGTCTGAATAATACCTCATATTATTGAAAAATATACATGCGAGCTGTATGAATTTATATAATAACAACCATTTGCAGTTTGATAAAATTAATGTATCATGACAATGTTATTGTTCAGAGTTCCACGTCCCCGAAAAGTCTAATCACAATTCTCAAGAGTTATAGTTTTACTAATTACATTTGATAATTTGTATTTGTTTTTCACTTTTACAATGAACCATTCATCTACTAAAAACTTGGCTTGTCTAAATGTTTGAGGGTGGATTTATCGTCTTTTTTTCAAAATAAACACTGTTCCAAACAAGTGATTTTATTAATTCATTTACAACTTCAAAAAATTAAATTCGTCAATTTTCACGTCTTCATTTTAAAATTCCGGTAATACTTTTTTATCTGAACTGTGGAGTCAACATAACATATATATAAAATAGCCAAATTAAGCCAACAAGGTCATGTCTGACAAGTCCTACATTTTGCAGTGTTCCATTTTAGTCATTCTTGCTGGTTAACCCTTGATAAACACAATGTGTAATTTAAACATGGTTTTCTCTCTGGTAGAAGTAGGTGGAAACTGAGGACATTTAAATAGCACTTGAACCTTACTGTCACTGAAACTTTTCCCTGCAAAAAAGTGGGGGCTACAAATAACACTATAATAAGCTCTTCAATAGCATATTCAGCTTCCCCTTTTGAACCAACATTTGATTTATTACATACTCTTATATGTAGAGAGATTCTTTCTTATTACTGGAGGATACAAATTTTACAACATGAAGCATTTTGTCTGTTTTTGAAGAAGGAAAAAGAGAGAAAAAAAGTATTAAAAAATGTAACTACAGATATTCCTCCTCCTGTAATAAGAACAATTCGGGTCATTGCTTCTTTGGATATACAAATTAAAGAAAGAGTAGTGAAATACTCAGCGTGTAATACGAGGAAACCACCCTTGTTTCATTTGAATATACTACTATTACAGAATAGTATTTATGTCCCACATTGGACAGATTACAAAAATGATTTGTATAGGTTGGATATAAATATGATGTGTGTGGAACTGGAATAGGTACATACCTGGACGGAGCTATTGGGTGATCAAGCAGGCCCATGGCTTAGACTGATGACTTCCATTGCACATTAAGGAAGGGAATTGGTCTAAGGTCTACCCAAGTTGGTAGCACCTACGTCGTAATTTGTGGCAGTGAGGGAGGCCTGCGTTCGCGCGGAACCCCTCTTTATTCAATTCAATTTTTTCTTAAGCAAGGTATCAGTCGAGGTTGTATTTAAGGCTATTATCACTAAGGAAGTTTAAAGCTTTCGTGCCATCGATGCCTTAGTATTTGTTGCAGTATATTAATCAGTCGAGGTTGAACAAACAAAAACAAGTCCTGACACTGAATCCTTGCATATATTAATCAAATTTGCAAATATTAAATACTTAGTTTATTTTTGAAGAAGGTATGGGTTTGAATCCTACCAATTGCAAAAGAATTATTTTGCAAAATAGCCACTGATTAATGGACACCTGTGACCCAATTATTCATTTAATAAAAAAAGTTGAATATGTTTTTAGTCTATTAAAAATAGACCACGATTCAATTTAGTCCATATAAATAGAGGACTATTCAATTTTAGTCTTTAATTTTTTTTCTTTAATAATAGTCCTCTAATGTTTTTCGTCTATAATTTTGATTCTTTCTATTAATTTTCATGTTAGACTTTAGGAATTACTAGGAATGTTGTTCTAATTCTATCAATTCTGTTAGTTACAAGTATTAAATGTTATCTTTAACCGTTAGAGAGCCTAAGAGCAGCCATTAGAATAAAAACTTTAACAATTATTATTATTAGGAGCAGCTACAAAACTTAGGTAGAATAAAAAAGGAAACATAACCATATTCTAGGAGGAGTGAAAATTAGAAAAAGGTTATATTTGGGAGGGAGAGACCAAGCTCTCGAATTTTTGGAAGGGAGAGAACCAAGATTCTCGAATTTATTGAAAATTCATTGCAATTACTATTAAATTTTATTGTTTGGTAATCAGTTTCTATCATATTAATGAAAGCTGACGTGCCACCACATGACATAACTTTTGCATCTTGACATGTGTTCATTTGACCAATGTGAATTAAAAAATTATTTTAATTTAGCTAGAAAACTAAATGTTATAAATCCTAAACCATTTTATTAACCATTTGAAATCTTCACCATTTGGAATCCTACAAAGTAAAAAATCGTCTTCTAGCTCTGCAGTGTTTTTGACTCATTTGTATTCGAAATGTTGTTTTAGTTCTTCTCCGTTTACAAAGAAAAAGAAAAAGTGTTGATTTGTTGTTGTGGTGGTCCCATTTAATATACTGAAAGTTTGAGGTGGTTCCATTGAGACATCTCGAAAGCGCATCTTAAGGTCTTATTGTGGTCCAACACTCTGCAGTTTAGATTTGTTCGCTTTTTTTATACTAAGTTGTTATTTTTTCTGTTGAGTATCAGTTTAGGGTTTAGAGATCCATCACTTTTATATAGTGTTCTGGACTGGGCCCGACAGGCCCAAAAGCATTGCTAAGGCCCAATCCAAATAGACTTGCTGAGGACCACGCCGACCAAAGGGTCACAGTCGTGCCCGACGTGCTCCCTGGGGTCACGTGCTCGACCTCTACACCTCCAACCCGACGTGCTCCCTGAGGTCACGCGCTCGACCTCTACACCTCCAGCCCGACATCCTGCTGTCCAGCTCGACATTACCTCGAGCACCCCAACTAGGGCAGACTTAGTCCACTGCGCTCCCAACGAGGCCCCGAAAAGACCGCGTCTCCGTCCGCCCGCACTTCACGCAGAACATCCAGGAAGGGGACCACGTGCGGGTCCCCACTACGCACGTAGAACCTGGCAGTTCCTCCATTGGGCCAAACCTGCCCGACCCAATGAAGGAACCTTGGCCCAGCGCTGGGGGCTATAAATACCCTATGTTTCCAGAGGGTCAGGTATTCATCATTCTAACCATACACTTGCTATTACCTGCTCGTACTTCTACTTACTTCAGCATCGGAGTGCCTTGCAGGTACCCCCCCACTTCGTTCAAAAAGCTTTCTGCTCGGAGCCAGCCGTGACGGTCCATTTCTGATCAGGCCAGATCAGTGGCGCCGACTGTGGGGATCTAGCTTCCCCGTCTAACAAACAACTCAAAAGACCAAAGCTCAATTCAACTACCTGTCATGGCTGATCCAGCTCGTGACGAGCAGCACGTCCGTGTCGCCGACACTAATAACGGCACCGCAGACAAGAATGGACACCTCGATAACCCCGACGATCCCGGCCACAGTACCATTCCTGTGACGATCGCCCCTGGAACTTCCTCCTACAGGGACGGGGCTACTGCATCATCCTCCCCGATCCCACCACCACTCAAAGACGACCCGGTAGCTCTCGCTCATTACAGAGCTGCCCGGTTCCACGAAGTCCCAGTTCCCGCCGGGGCAGATGCCACGACTCAGGCACTGTTCGCGGCCATTAATCAGACAAACTATCTCATTTTCTCCCAAGGAGAAAGACTAAGGGCGCTTGAAGATGACCGACGACCCTCGAGGAGGCATCGGAGGCCACATTCTCCACCTCCTCGGGTCACAGAAGTTCGACACCCTTCTCCCCCGCGGAGACACTACAGGGAGAACTCCAGAAGCCCCTCTCCCCGGCCAAAGCAAAGGCGCCCCTATTTGGAGAGACAACCCGCCATCCCTGCCGGAGAACCCAGTCGCGACCCGGCAAGGCACGACAAGAGGCACGTCGGGGACGGGCGTGTGACATTCAACCACTGAGCATCACACTCGAGGGAAACTCAGCACGACCACCGTGCCAGACAATACTATAGGTCCCCATCTCTTTCTCCGAAGAGGAGCGACGAGGACGACCCCCGCGGTCCCCTGTCGCAGGCCATCATGGATGCACCTATCCCCCCGGGCATGGAGAAGCCCCCACATCTGAAGGAGTATGACGGAGTTGCGGACCCGGTCGACCACATTGACGGGTTCGAAGCCATGTTCCATTATCATAATGTAGGGGGGCCCATCAAGTGCCGTCTTTTCCCTATGACTCTCAGGAAGGCGGCCATGGACTGGTATAAAGGACTCGCCCCGAGCTCAATCACGTCGTGGCGGAACCTGAAGAACCAGTTCATCAGTTCCTTCACAGCTTCTCGACGCCATCCGAAGACCGAGGCGGCCCTCGAGGCCATCATCCAAAGACAGGATGAAACCTTGAGGGAGTTCATCAACCGCTTCAACCGAGAAGCAATACAAGTCCCCTGCGCGGACCATATGAAAAGATACTTGCTGGAGAGGGGTCTCCTCCCCGGCACAGAATTCAGAAAGGCTGTGGGTATTGAGCCACCTCCGACTTTTGATGCCCTCCTCGATAAGGCCCGAGCATATATGGACTACGAGGAGAGGGAAGCTGCCAACAGGGCCCGAGACTCCAGGGCTCGGGGTCCCAACAACAGCAGCAGCTCACGACAAGAGGCTCCTCCCCAACGTACCGGGGAGAAAAGGAAAGAAGATCGACCCCGGGAAGTCCGGGAACAAAGGGGCCCCTCGGGCCGTTTCACCGAGTACACTCCGCTCACAGCTTCCCGCGAGCGTATTTTGGCGGAGTGTGCAAGTACAGATTTCAAGGACGGCGGCGTCAAGTGTCCCCGACCTACTCCCGCCAAGCCAGGGGCGGATAAAAATAAATACTGTCAATACCATAGGAGTCATGGTCATTTGACAGAGGACTGCGTCCACCTCAAGGACGCCATTGAAACCCTCATCAAGGGAGGCAGGCTCGCGCAGTACAGACGAAACGACGCTCCTCGTCGTGACGCCCATGAAGCCAAGGAGCCAGAAGAAGACGCCCGACCATCAGACGAGTCGGTGCCTATCTAGACCGCCTTCTCGGTAACCAGGCCCGAGGGTTTCGACATTCCCGAGCACCTGCAGGAGCCGCTGACAACGCACAGCAGGTGGGAATACTTTCCCTCCGCCATGGTCATCAACGGGGGCGGGTTCAACGACCTCACCATCAATTCAGCTAAGAGGAAGTTGGACGAGCTGGTCGACGCGGCTCCCCCGCAAACA